GAGAGAGAGAGAGAGAGAGAGAGAGAGAGAGAGAGAGAGAGAGAGAGAGAGAGAGAGAGAGAGAGGCAGACAGGCAGGTGGGTAGATGCCAGGCTGTGATATGCCATACGTGGCATGACAGAGCCCATCAACATGTCAACCGGCCATGCCGATACACCATTACATAGTCTGGTGAATTAAAGTGTCTACATCTCCATGAGCGAGGCATAGTCTGGTGAATTAAAGTGTCTACATCTCCATGAGCGAGGCATGCAACACCCCGTTACAAGCCGCTACGTTCCGACAAAGCCCCAACAGTCAAAAGATGTGAACATTTCCAGTATGCCATCTGACCGACACCCCTGCAAAAGCCTGCATCCTGACGAAATCCCGATATGCTGCAGCTATCAGCCTATAATTATCCAGCTGAGCACTGCTGGGACAGCAGAAACGAGCCGGGGAGGAAGGCACATAAGGTCTCCCTTGTATTGCAGGCACATCAGGTGCCCAACCTCTTCCATTGTCTCGGTGAATGCCCCAGCTTCACCTTCACTCTCTCGTATGCCGACCCATTAATTTTGCCTCGCACCAGTTCTCCTGAGAACCAGGCTGACAAACTTGTTATTGGCTGAAAAGACTCAAAAGAGTAATGCCGACCTCAGGTTGCACGCATGCATTGCCACGACTTCCTATTCCTATTTTAGAAAAAAACTCCACACTCTTACAAAACGAAAGTGCCCCCCACAAGAGGATTAAAAATCGGGAAACACTCTCCGATCTCGGGGGGCACTATATGAAAGAAACAGGTCAGTCCCTGCATTGAATCCAAATTTGTACATCACAGTGATCACACCCTCTACCGTAACACCAAACGTGAAATGCGGAAACGCAGCTGCATTGTTCCTGTGGAGTTGCCTCGGAAGGGGAGACTACAGCCGCCCTCGCATGCCCACACGTCCGATCAATCGCATACCCTCGAAACAGAGACTACGGCCGCCCTTGCACGCCCGCATGTCCGATCCGTCGCATCCCCGGATCCACATTGCTCCTCCCACCATCCTGGCTATTTGACCCATCGTCGGCTTGAAATGCGGCTGCATTGTTCCTGTGGAGTTGCCTCGGAAGGGAAGACTACGGCCGCCCTCGCATGCCCACACGTCCGACCAATCGCATACCCTCAAAACAGAAACTACGGCCGCCCTTGCACGCCCTCACGTCCTATCCGTCGCATCCCCGGATCCACATTCCTCCTCCCACCATCCTGGCTATTTGACCCATCATCGTCTGCATTCCTGCGTCGATTCAGCAGCATAATCCCACATGGGGTTGAATTGTAGCTGTGGATCTACTTCAAATCAGAGCCTATCGCCAACCTTGTACGCCCTCGCCTCCAATCAATTGCATCCACTGGAGCATTGGTCCTACCACCATGCTGTCTTTTGCCCATAGGCTGCATTCCTGCGTCGATTCGCGTTAAAAATGACAATTTTTTTGGCAATTGCATGATATTAAATGTCCAAAATTTCCCACTTTTTTGTGCATCGTCTTGAACCACTACAGTCCCTGCTGCAAGCCTATACGGAATGCCGTTTTACGAGCTGCATCCCTTTGTCCTGAGGCCATAAAATGTACAAAACAGTCGTACCAAATCACGCCTTAAAGGCTATTAACGCTTGCAGTCGGATAAACATCATCACTCTACGTGTCTAAGGCATGATCTAGCACTTCTGCACATTCTACGACCTTTGCTCGTGAAGCGGCGCTCCTTCTAGGTGTGTACTACTGTGTAGTAGTATAGGTCCAAAAACAACACACACACACACACACACAAAAAAAAAAAAAAAAAAAAAAAAAAAAAACGGAAATTTGGGACACTTGCTTTCGAGCAGTAAAAAAAAAAAAAGGTCATTTTTAGCGACATGCCATTGGAGACTATGGTGATCCTGGGGACTATGGTGGTCCTGGGATGGTCCCCCTGCTCCAACTTCAACTTCCAAGTCCCGCGAGTCCCGCAAGTCCCACGAGTTCCACGAGTTCCACTTTACAGGGTGTTTGCTCCCATATACCCTATATCAAGCGCAAGAAGCATAGTTCTCTCCTCCGACGGAGACCATGGCTGCCCTCGAATGCTCCCAGTTCTGATCAATGGAATCGCGTGGTCCCTTCTTCCTTCCATATTCCCAGCTTTGCTCAACCGGGGGTACACTGTTGGCACTAGTCCCATTGCATCCACCAAAGGAAGAAGAAAGCTGACTCTGCATCCCCTGATTATTGCTCCCGGCACTCACAAGGGGAACAATCGGAAAAGCTTCGCAATTGCAGATCTCAACCATATGTCCATCTGGGTCATGGAAGAAGAGTTGCTCAACGAATATATCGCCATCGCGCACAATCTGCTTTACGTATCTTACCCCCAGTTCCTGTAGTCTCTGCTCCATTGCTCTGACATCATCACACTGCACAACAGATACAAAAAACGCACGTTGACGTCGTTAAGTACGAACTCTCAAGATTTAGAGACTGTGGCATCTAGCATCATCTGCTACACGCGTTCTTTCTCAACATTTTGTGTGTGTGTGTGTGTTTGCCCACCGCCTCCTTGGCCATCAACCTTCCGTTCGAGAGTGCACATGCATGCTCAACATCGCTGAGTGCACATGCATGCTCAACATCGCTTGGCTGGGGTCAACGTGCGCTTTCTACGAAATGCGTCCCTCGAAAAGGGACACAGCGATGTCACTCCGCCAGAGGGGAGAGTCCTTCAACAGGAGTGAAGTGATGTCGTCGATGCAAGGGAAGGCCCACTCAAGCGAGGGACACAGATTTTGGTTTCGGCTCTTCAACCGAGGAGAAGGATGATGATAAGACTGAAACAGTCCAATCGTGTTGGTTAAAAGATAGAAAGTCACATTTCGAAAGTCCCTTCGGCGGTGCAGACCTCCACGGCTTCCCTCTTTCAGCCTCCTGTGCTGACGTAGTCCCTTGCGTTAGTGCTAACAGATGGAAGTCACATTTTCGAAGGTTGGGAGGTTCAAACCCCCACACCTTCCCTTCTCTCTTTCAGCCTCCTGTGCATTTGTGTGGGTTAACAGATCGAAGTCACACTTAGGAAATCGTCATTTGTGTCTCACAACTTCACACCTTAATACCTTGTCGCTTTCAGCCTCCTGTCCTGTGTGGATTAACAGATCGAAGTCGCACACAGGAAGTCGGCATTTGTGTTGGTTAAAACTTAAAAACCTAAAAACTTGAAAACCTACACACATCATCAGCCCCAATCACCTTCTCTTTTTGTCTATACACTCAACGTCCACATTTAGAAAGTTGGAATTCCGAATTTGCGTTGGTCAACAGATAAAAAAAAATCATGGTTACGAAGGTGGCAGTTCAAACCTACTCACATCAGCCAATCACCTTCCCCTCTCTTTCAAAAGCCTCTTTGTCCTCGTACATAGTCGTACATACTCAGATTTATGAAGCAAGCATTTGTCGTGGTGAACAGATACAAAAAAAAAAAAGAGTCACATTTAGGAAGCTGGCAAATCAGACATACACCACAGATCAGCCAGCCAATCACCGGCCCACTTTCAGCGATTGATCATTTGTCTCGGTGAACAGATATATCACCTAAGTCACGTTTAGGAGATGATTTAGCTGCCTTCAGCAAGGACACGAGGGGGACTAGAAGAAGTTCACAGCGACTGACATCTGGCGCCCAGCAGCGGGACTGAAGAGGGCCACCCTTCAGACCACAAAC